ATCCTAGTAAGATTATATCTTCGTTTTTAAACTAATTAAATAGAGAAATCGTTTTGGTTTTAATTACTTCTTCTTTAGATTTATAAATTTTTACATTATTTATCATTTTATAACATCGGATTTATCCATCCTACATGTATATGAAATACATGTTCAAAATCATCATTAATTTTGGTTAACAACGGAATTAACCCTAAATATAATTTAATACTCCACGACGATCCATTTGTATTTGCCACCTCCTTTAATATGTATTTTAACTTTGTGTATTAAACTCGACCTTCTATCTTATGGTCCATTCGAATTGACAGTCACACCTGACACGTGTGCCCTAGAGGCACGGCTAATTTCCAATCTGTTAATTACCTTATACCTTTGTTACAAGCCTTCCACGAGTATTGTCATAGAACACGTCGCATATACATGTACCTAGTCCAAGTATAGATTGTAAAAGGCCAATAAGCGTACACCTATATATTGTCTTTACAGTTTAAGTTATTTACTTTAATTTGTTCACCATATCCGTCGGAAAAAGCAAATATTAAAAAATATAAAAGATTTAATTTTTGTGCTGTAAACAAAAATGAATTGAAACGGAAACGATAAATATAGACAATTATATCTCATGAATGTAAAAAGTAGCATGTCTGACTGTTCATTTTTTTTTTCTAATAACCTGGGGCCGGTTTCACGAAGCTATCCTAAGACCTGTCATAAGATATATCTTAGGACATGTCTTATGACCCTCTTATGACTATCCTAGGACATATCTCAGACCTCGCCTCGAAGCTGTCTTAGGATGATCTTAGCTAAGATATCCTAAACCTGTCGCAAGTTCTTTAAATTTTTAGATATTAACATGGATTCATGGAAAAATTCATGTAAATGTATTATGTGTTTCCAATAAATTACTTAACGTATTGATTAACATTCCAGAATTAGATATTTTGTAAAATTAATATAAGGCATTAGTTTAATTTATTTAAATAATCTATTAATAATACACCAATATGCATATAAAAATTCAAATAAAAATTTGAGAAAAAAAAACCAATAAGCTGGTGATTATTTGATTTTGTACAAGTGAGTTGAATTCAAGTTTTCACTGTATCGGTTATAAAAAGGTTAAAGGATAAAATCGTGCATTTTTGATATAAATAAATCGAATGTTCATTGTTGATAAATCATTGTTGATAATCCGCCAACCTATAAAGATTTTGTTACGAGTAGAACAAGGAGATTAGATAATCAAATAATAATAACATAATTTTCAAAATTAATATAAAAAATAAGTGTAATTCATAAAAATAAACTTATGACTATCCTAAGACCATCATATTAAGACACCTCTCGTGTAGTCCTAACTTTATGACCAACTTTAAGAGATGTCCTAAATTAGGACCACTTTGTGAAACCCACTTAGGACTAAGATATGTCGTAAGACCATCCTAAGACATATCTTAGTCCTAAGACAGCTTTGTGAAACTGGCCCCTGGGATCCTGGGCTGATATGCATAAAACCACTTAAGTTAAGATATCCAATCGTAGTACTAATCTATCGTACGACATGTAGAAAAATCCGTCCGTTCGGAACAAATCTTAACTTAAGTAGTTTTATGCATATTAGCCCTGGCTCACTGCTCGACAGTAGACGAAGTATTATATTCGGTCAGGATGCCAAGCTAATTTTCTTACTATCGGAAGGTAATTAGTTATCAAAATTAATCATCGGCGCGCTTATAATTATGTTAAAATACGATTAAAGACCAAGGGCCTGTTTATTGATCGGTCTAATTTCTTAGGACAGATATTAGGATAAAGGTAGGACCGACTTAAGAGATGTCTCAGCATGCACATCGAAGCTATCTTAGGATTATCTTAGCTAGGATGTCCTAAGACTTTAAATGATTGTACTTTAAATACAGACATGCAATACCAGGCCCCAGTTTCACAAAGCTGTTTTAGGACATATCTTAGTCACAGATATATATATATATAGAGACCACTTTGGAAAGTAAACTTGGAATTAATAGTAAATAGCAAATACAAGTTATTTGTAGTATATTTATGTTCTTATAATACAGAAAAACGTAAAATTAATTGAAATTAATAGAAAACAAAAAAATAAGCGGATTTTGGAAAAAAGGGGGAGCCTCAAAGCCAAAAAAAATTTTCCTGTCCCCAAGTACCTATGGTTTCAGCTAGGAGTTTGAGGGTTTAAGTCACTTTACCCGTGATGGAAATCAACATTATGTGGGGCAACAGTAAACAACCAACTTGAAAGGACGTATATTACTAGCTATACATATGCCCAAGTCCTTCAAGGATCTTTGATCTGAGGGCCTTATGAATGCTACAAATGTAGGCAGTTGTTGCATGATGTGATGCTTAAATAAGAAGATAAGAACTAGGATCCGGAAATCTAGTTCACAATTTCACTTCACCTTTGTTATTTTCAGGGGACATTCCTGATCAACAAAAGTGAAACCAGGAATCACAGCATAAAGGAACGACTATTTAACTTCAAAGGGAACGGGATGGGGTTTTGTTTTCTTCCTAAAAAATATATTCTGATCCCCAATTTAATGCAAAAATTATTGTGGCCAGGAGGTGAAAAAAAATATTCTGAATTCAGATTTTCCCCATAACTTATAGTGATAAATTTTGAAAAATAGTCTGATCGATAGCATTAAAAAACTAAATTATCTCAATCAGACAAAACAATCATGATCCCCTAGCTCCCTATCTTTGAAGTTAAAAAGTTGCTCTCTTAATGAAATTGTAACAACTATATCTCTGTATGATCAGTATCCCGATTAAATCGATATTTGGAATTCATTTTAACAAACGACAGTATATTTAAATTTATCAAGAATAGATAACGTTTACTTTCGATTTTTAAACGAAATGAAATCAGGAAGTGACAAGAGGATAACAAATTTAGAATGAATCCAAATTCATATACAGATTGGTGTTTAACAAAAAGGCGGGAAATTATCAATTTTTAAATTAAGTTGCTCAGTAAGAAATAAAGTCTCTCGTTTAAATTTGTACTAAATGATTTCGTATTTCACTTTTTAGTGTCTATTAAATTTTTAAGAATACGTTCCCGCATGCGTCGAACATGATAAAGAAAGCACCTGTTTGACCCGTGAAAATATTTTTAAACGTTTTAAAGTTTCATCTTTGTGATCGAAATTGTTGAAAGATTCTGATGAAAAAATATATAAAATGGGACGCAAATACAAGGGATCAGATGATATTATATAATTGGCACAAAGGACATAAAATATAGAAGTAGACTATTTTAAAATAAATAATTCAACATTTTCTTTAAAAATTACGAATTTATTTAATGGTTTATCGACACGTGCCACATTCAATATTGATTGCCGCCTGTGTAATCGATTGGAATTCATTATCATTCAACCAGGAACAGTTTATTACGCACGTTTGTTATTTCAGCATGTTCTAGTTGGGTTTTTTCACGTGTTTTGTATTTGGTTTATAAAATAAAATAAAATTATGGATAAGGTCAAACGAAAATTAAAAAAATACTCTATTTGTCATAAAAAGCTTCACAAATTCCACAAAAGGTTTGACAAACTTTTGACTTTATACTTTTCTTAATAATGTTAATTTAGGTAAACGGACAGAAAGTCATAGGACAAAAAGTCACAAATTTGATAGAACAAAAAGTCACAAGTAGTTTGTTGACAATTGTTTGAATATATAAGAGAATGATCTTGAAATATTTTCTTTTTATTACATATATTCATTTTTAAGTTTGGGAAATAGTTCATAAGCCTTGATAAATGAAAATTTATTAAATTTTAATCGTGCAAAGGATATATTTCTTGGCACCATGAAGCCACTTAAAGATCAAGCCTCTTTGACATTTTGTTTTCATAGCAATTATTTGATCATTATTAATATTTATTGCATAAATTTTAATTACAAAATTGCTTTATAAATAATAGTTTAATTAGTTTTTTTTTTGTTCAAAGAAAAATAATCTCAAAACTGAATTGTGACTTTTTGTCCTGGGACTTTTTGTCCGTGACTTTTTGTCCGTGACTTTTTGTTCGTGACTTTTTGTCCTATGACTTTCTGTCCTACATTCTTAATTTAAACTGCATCCATTTATCGGTAAAATACGGACAAACGAAGTTGTAAAAATATCCATATCTTTAAAATTTATTAATACATATACTGATTCTAGTTTATAAATCAAAAACGATCCCCTATAACAACAGTATTTGTAATTCAAACTAGTTTGATGTCGCACAAACCCTCCCCTAATCTGGGATAGTGGTGAAACAGTACAACCTAAGAACAAACTATAAAAATCTGTTGAAAAGGGCTCCACTCATCATGCATGCCTATTTGCAAAGATACAAAAAGATTTTACACTATGAACATATAATATAAAGCTGTCTTAGAAAATGATAATTACGTTGAGTAAACTTGAGCGGTCATACTTAGCCCTATTTAGACTAGAGGGTATTCAAACGTAACTCTACATAAAAGACTATGATATTTTGTAACAGTTGAAAAAAACTGAATTGAGCTCCATTTCATCTTTGACTGCCCTCTATATATTGACTGTCGAATTAACAAATTAGGAAAATATATAGTTCGTGCATGACATATTAGACGTCAGTTGCTGTATGACCCATATCTTTAAATTATTTCCATATTCAATCTAAATATTTGAGAATTTATTTTAATTTTGAATCGAATGAGATATATTATATATGTGGAGCGGGATCTGCTTACCCTTCCGGAGCACCTGAGAGCACCCCTAGTTTTTGGTGGGGTTCGTGTTGCTAATCTTTATTTTTCTATGTTGTGCTTTGTTTACTATTGTTTGTCTGTTTGTCTTTTTCTTTTTAGCCATGGCGTTGTCCGGTACGTCTAAACACTGCTAAGGACTCCTTAGTGCACAAACGTATACTATGCCACTAAGGACTAGAAGGGGTGCTGCTACATGTATGATTTTTGTCGAGCCTGCGACTTTTGTCGCAGAAAGCTCGACATAGGGATAGTGATCCGGCGGCGGCGGCGGCGGCGGCGGCGGCGGCGGCGTTAGCTAACTTCTTAAAAGCTTTATATTTTAGAAGGTGGAAGACCTGGATGCTTCATACTTTGTATATGGATGCCTCATGTTACGAAGTTTCCGTCAGTCACATGTCCAATGTCCTTGACCTCATTTTCATGGTTCAGTGACTACTTGAAAAAAAAGTTAACATTTTTTGCAATGTTAAATTCTCTCTTATTATAAGTAGTAGGATAACTATATTTGGTATGTGCGTACCTTGCAAGGTCCTCATGCCTTTCAGACAGTTTTCACTTGACCTCGACCTCATTTCATGGATCAGTGAACAAGGTTAAGTTTTGGTGGTCAAGTCCATATCTCAGATACTATAAGCAATAGGTCTAGTATATTCGGTGTATGGAAGGACTGTAAGGTGTACATGTCCAACTGGCAGGTGTCATCTGACCTTGACCTCATTTTCATGGTTCAGTGGTTATAGTTAAGTTTTTGTGTTTTGGTCTGTTTTTCTTATACTGTATGCAATAGGTCTACTATATTTGGTGTATGGAATGATTGTAAGGTGTACATGTCTAGCTGGCGGGTGTCATCTGACCTTGACCTCATTTTCATGGTTCAGTGGTCAAAGTTAAGTTTTTGAGTTTTGGCCTTTATTTCTAATACTATATGCAATAGGTCAACTATTTTTGGTGTATGGAAATATTTTATGATCTATATGCAGTTGCGCAGGTTTCATTTGACCTTGACCTCATTTTCACAGTTCATTGATCAGTGTTAAGTTCTTGTGTTTTCGTCTGTTTTTCTTATACTGTATGCAATAGGTCTACTATATTTGGTGTATGGAATGATTGTAAGGTGTACATGTCTAGTTGGCAGGTATCATCTGACCTTGACCTCATTTTCATGGTTTGGTGGTTTTACTTAAGGTTTTGTGTTTTAGTCTGTTTTTCTCATACTGTTTGCAATAGGTCTACTATATTTGGTGTATGGAATGATTGTAAGGTGTACATGTCTAGCTGGCAGGTGTCATCTGACCGTGACCTGATTTTCACAGTTCATTGCTCAGTGTAAATTTTTTTGTGTCTTGTTCCATTTTTATTCTTATACTGTTTTTGATAAGTGAACTATATTTGATGTATTGAATGTTTATGAGGTGTCTATGTCTGTCTGCCAGATATTATATGACCTTGACCTGATTACCATGGCTCATTGGTCAATGTTAAGTTTTCCTGCTGAACTTTGTTTCTTAGAAAATATAAACAATAGCTCAACTATATTTGGTGTATGGAATGATTGTTAGGCATATCTGTCTGTCTGGCAGGGTTCATATGACCATGACCTTATTTTCATGGTTAATAGGTCAAGGTTTTTTTTTTTCTTTTTTGATTTGTTTTTAAGATACTATATGGAATTTGTGAAATATATTTGGTTTATGTAATTACTGTAAGAATTAAGATTTATATATCATACTGGCTGGTAACATATAACCTTGACCTTATTTTCATAGTTCATTGGTCAATGTTAATTATTTAAAGTTTATCCAATTTATCAGTTACAAGAAGGGATAAGTCAATTATATCATGTACTGAATAATTATAAGGTGTAATTCGTTTTTAAATTCATTTATTTATTTTTAATCAGAAATGCATTTGAATATTAAATACAAGAATCTTTTTATAACAATAATGACAATATAATTAAATCATACATTTGTGTTATAAGTGATAATTACTGAACAATGATTAAATAAAACATTGGAAGGTGTGGAAATGTTAAAACAAGCTCACTCATGCATGAACATTAGTCCTATAATACATTTCACCACAACCATATTACATATAATAGGATTTATTGTCTGAATGTGTTCAGATTGAACAATATCTTGTTTTTACAAAGTTAAAGAATAACATTTACAGAATTGTTTTGTACATATGATCTAAGATAAGTATACTTTTGTTTTTAAATATAATTTTGATTTGATGGTAGCAAATATGACTTACATGACTTAAGTTAACATATTGTTAAAATTTATCTTTTTTGCAGATATATAATTTTCAATAATTATACAAGTATTCTTATTGATTAAATTAGTTATTTTCTTATTTAAAACATAAAATAATAATAATACTAAGTATATAGATGTGAGAAATATCAATTAATAATATTTTTAAGCTTAATTATATTATGTAGCAATGTCCTTTTACAATAAATAATTATACCCCCACTTTAAAAAAGTGAGGCTTTTCTGTTTTACCTCTGTCTGTCCATCGGTCAGTCCATCCATCCATCAGTCCGTCCGTCCGTCAGTCCGTTCATCCGTCACATGAATATTTTCATCTCATCTTTCTCTGGACCTACATTACAAGGATTTCTGAAATTTGGTTTCAGGGTTTATATTAGTCATTTATACCTTGTGATGCAATTTCAGATTCATCACTCAACAACTTCCTGTTTACCGAACACTTGTATCATTTTAAACATATTAGCCAAGTTGAAAAGTTTCGTCACATTTTTCTCAGGAACTACAATACAAGGATTTCTGAAATTTGAGTTCACTGTGTGATGTGTTTTCAGATTCATCACTCAAAAACTTCCTGTTTACAGAAATATTTTGGCAGGGGTATCATAAGTGAGCAGTTGCTCACAGTTTCACTTGTTTGTTTAGGGATCTACAAAACAAAAGAATGTCATTCAATCACTTCTTCAAATATTTATTGCCCTTTATTTCTAGACAGTTACTTCCTATTTGGTGATAATTAATATTCATAATAAACACACATGGCCATGCAAAGTTAATTACAAATTACCTTGTTTATATCAAATGTCTGATAAACAAACGTAAGTATCATATGCATAACATAGTGAGCAACTCTTTGTTGCGATTTGCACATGTGTCATTTATACATTGTGTTTTACAGATATGTATATATGCAATGAATGCAGTAAATCTTACAAGACTAGAAAAGGTCTTCAAAACCATGCATGTAATATATGTCAACTATGTAGAAAAACCTTCCCATCAGCACAGAAATTGAAAAGACATAATTGCAAACAACAGATATCAAACAGGGAAATTCTGAAATGCCAACTTTGTAAAAAGGAATATTCTACAGAGAATAGACTAAGATCTCATAAATGCTCATATTGCCAAATGTGTTCAATTCTTTTCTCAACATACCAAAAATGTTGCAGTCATATCTGTCAACATGCAGGAAAAACCTTGAATACAGAAAATAAAACAAAAGATTTAAATATGTCAATGATAAAGAATAACACTCAGAAGACAGATGAAGTAAAGAATAACACGCAGAAGACAGATGAAGGAAAGAATAACACTCAGAAGACAGACGAAGGAAAGAATAACACTCAGAAGACAGATGAAATAAAGAATAACAAGCAGAAGACAGATGAAGGAAAGAATAACACGCAGAAGACGGATAAAGGAAAGAATAACACACAGAAGACAGATGAAGGAAAGAATAACACTCAGAAGACAGATGAAATAAAGAATAACACTCAGAAGACAGATGAAGTAAAGAATAACTCGCAGAAGACAGATAAAGGAAAGTATAACACGCAGAAAACAGATGAAGGAAAGAATAACATGCAGAAGACAGATGAAGTAAAGAATAACACTCAGAAGACAGATGAAGTAAAGAATAACACTCAGAAGACAGATGAAGTAAAGAATAACACTCAGAAGACAGATAAAGGAAAGAATAACACTCAGAAGACAGATGAAGTAACATTAGAAAAAAAGATAAAGGAGAATACTACAACTGCATCAAACAGCATACAAACAAATAAAAAAAAGTGTTTTTCTCAAATTGTAAACAACACCAAGAAGTTAGAAGCAAAACATTTTCCCAGGAAAAACACACATGATAATTTGGAAACAAACCATTATGGAAAAGAAAGGAAAACCAGAAATGTATACCATAATTCAGCTTTAACACATACAAATAACATAAGTAGCATGGATTCAAATCAAGATCTTGTTGCAGTCGATATTATTCATGAAATCTTCCAATTTAAACCGATAAACTTGACATGGCAAATGAAACATTGCACAAATTTAGGATTAAGGTTTGAGAAATCATCATATCCATTGTATGATTTAACTGCGCCAAACATAATAGGAAATCCTAAAGATTTAAAGAAAATTATAGGTGATGGAAACTGCTTTTACAGAGCCATTTCTTATGCTATTACAGGAACTGAGACAAATCATATCAAAATAAGATCTGTAATAGTTAATCATATCCATCAGTTAGGGACAAATCTTCATTCCCTTCTACAACATGGTCAAACATGCTTTTCTTATGTATTGCAAAATCAAATAAATATTCCAGGAAGTTGGGCAACAGAAGTTGAGATTTTTGTAGCATCTGATTTATTAAGAACTAATATTTTCACCTATGTCAACACTGGCAATAACTCATATAAGTGGAACAAATTTGATGCTAACTACCTAAATCCCAATATTAGAACAGACGAAATAGGTATTTATCTAAACCATACAAATGGTAATCATTATGATATTGTTTTGTCAACTTCAACTGTACATAAAACATTAGCCTGTGGATTTTTTGCTGAAAAAAGGGAACATAGACAACCAAAAAACCAAGAATCTGAAAAATTTGGAGAAAAGAAAATAAGGAAAAAAGAGTATATGAGAAAATTCATGCAAATGAGACGATCCAATACAGATTATGCAGAAAAAGAAAGAATAGGTCATCAAAATCGAAGACTAGAAAGTAAATTTAAACATTTTGAAGTAGACTACAACAAAAAGAGAAGAACTGATCCAGAGTTTGTTGCTTTTGAGAAGGAGCACAACAAAAAGAGAAGGTCAAATCCAGAATTTATTACATTTGAGAAGGAGCACAACAAAAAGAGAAGGTCAAATCCAGAATTTGTTGCATTTGAGAAGGAGCTCAACAAAAAGAGAAGGACAGATCCAGAGTTTGTTGCATTTGAGAAGGAGCTCAACAAAAAGAGAAGGACAGATCCAGAGTTTGTTACATTTGAGAAGGAGCACAACAAAAAGAGAAGGTCAGAGTCCGAGTTTGTTACATTTGAGAAGGAGCTGAACAAAAAGAGAAGGACAGATCCCGAGTTTGTTACATTTGAGAAGGAGCTGAACAAAAAGAGAAGGACAGATCCAGAGTTTGTTTCATTTGAGAAGGAGCACAACAAAAAGAGAAGGTCAAATCCAGAATTTGTTTCATTTGAGAAAGACCATAATAAAAATAGAAGAACTAATCCAATATTTTTGAAATTTGAAAAAGATTACAATAATAAAAGAAGAAGTGACCCAACCTTTAAAGCTTTTGAGCATGACATTGACAGGAACCGCAATAGTAGTATTAACAAAGCTTTAGATTCACATCAATTGATTGATGCATTTCAAAATGAGGTTTCTACAGCGTGCATTTACAGATGTACATCTTGTGACCAGCTGTGGTTTAAGGAATCTGTTGAACCAGTAGGAAAACTACAAAATTTGAAAGAACCCTTATTTTCACAGTGTGTTCGAAAGAAAAATAGTATTGATGGATTTGAGTATGTCTGTCGCACATGTTTAAAATCTTTGAAGAAGGGTAAACTGCCAAATTTAGCAATTCATAATAAACTAAATTTCCCATTAAAACCACAAGTTTTGATGCTAAATTCTCTGGAAGAAAAGCTTGTGGCACCAGTATCAACATTTTTTCAAATGCGTGAACTTCCCAGTGGTGGTCAGTTTGGTATTCAAGGAAATGTAGTCAATGTTCCAGCTGATAATATGTCAACTGTTAAAATGCTTCCAAGAAGACTGCCAGAGTCACAGACAATACCAGTAAAATTGAAAAGAAGATTGAGATATAAATCACATGTAATGTTTCAGAATATAAGACCACAAAAATGTATAGATGCAACAAAATATCTTCTGACTAAGCCTTTATTTAAGCAGTATGTCACAGATGGTCTTGATGAGAAATGGCTTACTGAACATATGAAAAGTTTACAAAACACAGATTGGGATACATTTATTGAAAAAAATCCAGAAACAAATAATCCTCATCCCGTTAAATCACCCGAAATAAAAAACAAACAGAATGAAAAAAAAGCTGAAATGAAACAACAGACAGACATAACAGAAGAAGATGACCTCTGGAGTGAATATGATGATGATTTTTTGAATAAAGATGATATGGAAAAACAGCAGGAATGTGATGGCATCTATGACACAATGTTATACCCAGAAAACTTAGATAGTCAGAGAAATATACTGTCATTTGCACCAAGTGAAGGTAACTTACCAGTTAGCCCTTTTGGAGATGCTATTGAAGAATTATCATTTCCCGGTTTATTTTGTGGTGAAAAACGTCCATCAAACAAAGAACGTTCAGTGCTGGTGAAATATAGCGAAATTTGCAAGTCTGAACTGCGCCAAAATGATCGAAGAGCAGCACAAAATATTACTAATATTTTTTTCAAAGCCAAAAAAATTCAAATGAAACAAATTCAAGATAAGGTTTGGTTGTCATTACGACGAGTAAAAACCAAAGGAAAGAAAATTACAGCAAAAGATTTAAAAGACGAAAGCAATGTTGATACTTTGGTAAAGTTAGATGATGGTTACAGAATATTTAGAACACTACGAGGATCACCACCATACTGGGAATCTGCCAAAAAAGATTTATTTGCAATGGTTAGACAATTAGGTTTACCAACTTGGTTTATTTCCCTGTCATCAGCAGAAACAAGATGGAAACCACTATTAAGGTCACTTGGAAAAATAATTGATGGAGTGCAGTATTCAGATGAAGATATAAATACCATGACCTGGCAAACTAAATGCAGATTGGTGCGATCTGATCCAGTCACCACAGCTCGCTACTTTGATTACAAAGTACAGAAATTTTTCCATTCATTTTTGAACTCATCTGTAATGCCTCTTGGGAAAGTAAAAGAAATTTTTTATCGAATAGAATTCCAACAAAGAGGTTCACCTCATGTTCATTCAGTTTTATGGATTGAGAATGCACCCTTTTTGGAAATAAACGAAAACAAAGATATTGAAGACTTTATATCTAAGTATATCACCACAAATAGAAATTTGCCTGTTGAGGATGGACAACAAGACTTAGTTAAACTGCAAATGCATAGGCATACACATACATGTAGAAAGAAGAAGAAAAAAACCTGTCGTTTTAATTTTCCACTACCACCTATGAAAAAGACTATCATTCTAGATAAACTGCCATCAAATATGACTCCTAAGGAAGCGAAGAGACATACAAAGCACTATGAACTTATTCAAAAACATTTAGCACAACAAATGTCCTTAGAATGTTCTTTTGCAGAATTTTTGAAAGACATTAAAATGACTGAAGATGACTATATTCTTGCCATTAGATCATCCTTAAAAGAAACAAAGGTTTTTTTAAAGAGAGATCCAGAATGCATTCGCATCAACGGGTACAATGATACTGTGTTGCAAGCATGGATGGCTAACATGGACATACAATTTGTTACCAATGCATTTGCATGCTTAATGTATATTGTTAACTATGTTAGTAAAGGACAGAGAGGGATGAGTAACCTTTTAAGAAGAGCATGCGAGGAAGCTCACAAGCAAAATAGCTCTATGAACAATCAAGTAAAAACTATGGGTAACAAATTTTTAAAACATGTCGAAATATCTGCACAGGAGGCTGTTTACATAGTTTTACAAATGAAGCTGAAAAATTCAAGCTGTGGACATATTTTCATAAATACATCTCCCCCAGATGAACGTCCATTTATTATAAAACCAAATGAGGAGTTACAGAAATTACCAGATAACAGCACGGATGTTCAATGTAACAACGTTATAAAACGATATTCACAGAGACCCAAGAAGGTAGAAACTATATGTTTGGCAGATTTTGCAGCATGGTATGACCTTAGGTCAGAAAAGAAACCAAAAACAGATAGATTAGAAAATGAAGAAGAAATAGAGGAAACTGACATTGAAGATAATTTGGAAGATGAGAACTTAAGTCAAGATGAATATGATCCTGAAAATGATCCTAAAACTTTAAAATATAGGAATGGAGTAATTTTAAAACACAGAAAGAAGAAAAAAGTCATTAGATATGTAAGATATTCAAAGACAAAAGACCCTGAAAATTTCCATAGAGAAAAACTTCTTCTTTTTCATCCTTGGAGAAAGGAAGAAAGGATTATATATCCCTTTGACACATATGCAGATAAGTATAACAGTGTAAAAGAAGGTACTGACTGCAATGCAACTCAATATGAACATCATGCTGAAGAAATTGAAGAAGCTGAACAGCTTATTGAAAATGAGTTAGAGGAAGAAGCATTTGATGAGGTTGCCCCTGTAACACAGCATATAGAACTGAAGGATGAAGACGAAAAAGAATCTGAAGACCTTCATCAGATGGGTGAAGACATCTTCACACAATATGATATTGCAAATGATTTACAGTGTACAGGAACAGATATAGAAGAAGAAAAATTAAGAAACAGATTAACTGATACAGAATTTAGAAATATGGCTAGGTCATTAAACCAGAAACAAATGGAGTTTTTTTATCATGTGCTTAATATATCAAAATCTGATAACGAACAATTCATGCTATTCTTAAGTGGTGGAGCAGGAGTAGGAAAAACAAGACTTACAAAATGCATATACCAAGCACTAATAAAATATTACAATACAACACAGGGAGAAAATCCAAATCAGAAGTCCATTATTCTGGCCGCACCAACAGGTAAAGCAGCTTATTTGGTAGGAGGTGTTACAATGCATGCAGCATTTGGAGTTCCAGCAAACCAGGGGTTTCAGTATCGTCCATTAAAACATGAACTTTTAAATACATTTAGACATCAACTTGAACACCTTCAACTTATTATCATAGATGAAATTTCAATGTGTGGATCAAAATTATTTTGTTTTATCAACCAGAGAATGCAAGAAATTATGGGTGTATCAAAACCATTTGGAGGTATTAATATCATCACTATAGGAGATCTTTTCCAACTTAGGCCAGTAATGGATTCCTGGATTTTTAAACAACCTTCTGGCAATTCTACTGAAATTTTATCACAAAATGTGTGGAAAGAAAAATTCATGTTTTACGAACTGACAGATATTATGAGACAGAAAAATGATAAAATATTTGCAGAGACACTTAATAGAATAAGAGAAGGAAACCAAACTGTTGAAGATGTGAATTTTTTAAAGACAAGAGTAATAAAATCTGATATTCCAGAGTATCCTACATTTGCCACTCATCTGCTTTACCACAACAAAAGTGTAGATATGTATAACAACAAACTTTACAATGAGTGCAAAAACCATAAAGTGATAGTTAAATGCAAAGACATTGTTATAGGAGATATATCTGCAGAGACAAAAGAGGAAATTAAACAAAAAGCAAAGGATTTTGAGATGGGACTGTCTAAAATATGTGGTTTAGCTGTTGGAATGCGTACAGAGTTAACAGTTAACATTGATCTATTTGATGGATTAGTTAATGGAGCTGCTGGAGTTATCAAGGATATTGAATGTGTGTGTTCCCAACCAGATGTTATATGGGTAATTTTTGATAATGATGAAATTGGAAAAAATTTGAGAAAAGATTTCATGAAAAAAATGAAAAATTGGACTCCTATTAGAAAAATATCCAGAGAATTTCCTGTAGGAAAGTACAAAAGTATCAAAATTTCAAGAAAACAGTTTCCATTGAGATTAGCAGCTGCAAAAACTTTACATAGATCTCAAGGTGACACTCTGACTGAAGTTGTAATACAGTTGCCGACACGAAAAGAATGTCATATGCATTACGTTGCATTTAGTCGTGCTGAAAAGGCTGAAAAAATGTTTATACTTGAAAATGTATATGAAAACAATATTACAGTATCTCAAGAGGTAAAAGAAGAAATGAAAAGACTCAGAACAGAAAGAAATATGTTGCTTTCATTTACTCCCTTGTATTGTTTAGATAAATCAAAATTTGTCATATGCTTTCATAACAGCCAATCACTACACTTACATATAGAGGATGTTAGAGCTGATTATAACTTTAGAGAAACAGATGTAAATATGTTTGTAGAATCTAGATTGTGTTCAGAAGATAGTGACATTGACTATAATCTACCAGGATTTAAATTGTATCGCAATGACTTTTCTAAAAAGAGAACAAGTTATGGCACTGTTGCATATCTCAAAGAATCATTAAAAGCAAACATAGTCAAAATGAACATTAAAAATATTGAGATTATGAAAGTTATCAATCCATTTCTTCAACTTGTTTGTATATATTCCCGTCCTAAAGAATCAGTTGCCAGTCTATTTAGTGCAATGCAGAATCTTTGTTCTTCTTTAGATCATAAAAAAGTTATTGTCATAGGCGGGGACTTCAACTGTGATATTCAGAATCCATCACAAAGTACGAAAAGGTTATTAGAATATATGAAACTTCAGGGGTTTTTTCAAGTTATTAATCACATGACTACAGATGGGCAAACAATTCTGGACTTAATATTCACAAACTGTTGTGAAGGAATTCAATATGGAACATTAGAAGCATATTATAGTTATCACAAGCCAGTTTGGATAGCTTTAGATAGCTTTCATACCAGTTTCTAAGCAAAAGATTACAATAAAAATTTATCAATATATAACTAGGTGGTGAAACACTATCAGTTATAACTTGGACAAGCAATATCAGCATCTCCAGCAGTTCACTATCTCATCACAAATATTGTCTATGACAGTTCTTATACAGATATCATCTCAATGGCCACTCCATCTATACACATATCTCATATCTAGCAGTTGTTGATCTCTACACAGATATCATCTCTAGCATTACTTTCTTCCTACACAGAAATCATAACTGGAAGTTCATCATCTGTACACAGATATCATCTCTGGAAGTTGTCAATCTCTACACACATATCACCTCCATCTCTACACAGGCAGTATTCCATCTCTACAAAGATAATATCTCTGGTAGTACATCTCTACACAGAAATCACTACTAGCAGTTATCTATTCCTTCACAAATATCATCTCTAGAAGTTATCCATTCCTTCACAGATATCATCTTTAAAAGTAATCCATCTCTTCATAGATATCATCTCTGACAGTTGTCATTCTCCAACATATAGCTCGGTGGTGAAACACTATCAGTTATAACTTTTCTAAACATAGTCAGCATTCTTGTAATACTGGATCTCCACAAAGATATCATCTCTGACATAGCTACATCATCACAAACATTTTTTTTTCTGGTTGTTTTTCATCTCTTTATATAATTTCTGGCATTTCTCCATGTTTCTCCATGTCATCTATAGCAGATCATCATCTCAACATAGTTCTCACCTCTAGCAGTATTCCATCTCTACACAGATATCAACTCTGGCGGTTCTTCATATCTACATAGATAACATTTCTGGCAGTTCTTCATGATTACATAGATAACATTTCTGGTAGTGCTTCATGTCTACATAGATATCATCTCTGGCAGTTCTTCATGTCTACACAGATAACAACTCTCGCGGTTCTTCATATATACATAGATAACATCTCTGGCAGTGCTTCATGTCTACACAGATAACATCTCTGGCAGTTCTTCATAATTACAAAGATAACATCTCTGACAGTGCATCATATCTACATAGATAACATCTCTGGCAGTTCTTCATGTTTACATAGATAACATCTCTGGCAGTGCTTCATGTCTACATAGATAACATCTCTGGCCGTTCTTCATGATTACAAAGATAACATTTCTGGCAGTGCAACATGTCTACATAGATAACATTTCTGGCAGTTCTTCATGTCAACATAGATAACATCTCTAGCAGTTCTTCATGTCTACATAGATAACATCTCTGGCGGTTTTCATTTCTAAAAAGAACAGATAACAACTCTCGCGGTTCTTCATATCTTCATAGATAACATCTCTGGCAGTTCTTCATTTCTAAAAAGATAACCGTACTTCGCAATAAGCCCATTTTTTAAATTATAACTCGGTGGTGAAACACTATCAGTTATAACTTGGTGAATGAAAATCAGCATTCTTGTTATACTCAAGATTTCTAAGATATGATATGAAAGATTTTCAACCCTTTAGAGATATAATTTCTGCCATTTCTCCATGTTTATCCATGTAATCTTTAGCAGATCAGCATCTCAACATAGTTCTTACCTCGAGCAGTACTCCATCTCTTCACAGATAACAACTCTGGCGGTTCTTCATATCTACATAGATAACAACTCTGGCGGTTCTTCATATCTACATAGATAACATCTCTGGCAGTTCTTCAAATCTACATAGATAACATTTCTGGCAGTGCACCATGTCTACATAGATAACATTTCTGGCAGTTCTTCATGTCAACATAGTTAACATCTCCGGCCGTTCTTCATGTCTACATAGATAACATCTCTGGCAGTTCTTCATTTCTAAAAAGATAACCGTACTTCGCAATAAGCCCATTTTTAAATTATAACTCGGTGGTGTAACACTATCAGTTATAACTTGGTGAATCAATATCAGCATTCTTGTGATACTCAAGATTTCTCAAATATGATCTGAAAGATTTTCAACCCTTTAGAGATATAATTTCTGGCATTTCTCCATGTTTATCCATGTAATTTATAGCAGATCAGCATCTCAACATAGTTCTTACCTCAAGCAGTACTCCATCTCTTCACAGATAACATCTCTGGCAGTTCTTCGTGTCTTCATAAAAAAAATCTCTGGCAGTTCTTCATGTCTACTTAGATAAAATTTCTGGTAGTTCTTCATGATTACATAGATAACATCTCTGGCAGTTCTTCATGTCAAAATAGATAACATCTCTGGCAGTTCTTCATTTCATTTCCACATAGATAACATCTCTGGCAGTGCACCATGTCTACATAGATAACATCTGGCAGTTCTTCGTGTCAACATAGATAACATCTCTGGCAGTTCTTCATTTCATTTCCACATACATAACATCTCTGGCAGTGCACCATGTCTACATAGATAACATCTGGCAGTTCTTCATGTCTACACAGATAACAACTCTCGCGGTTCTTCATATCTACATAGATAACATCTCTGGCAGTGCTTCATGTCTACACAGATAACATCTCTGGCAGTTCGTCATGATTACAAAGATAACATCTCTGACAGTGCATCATGTCTACATAGATAACATCTCTGGCAGTTCTTCGTGTTTACAAAGATAACATCTCTTGCAGTGCATCATGTCTATATACATAACATCTCTGGCTTTTCTTCATGTCAACATAGATAACATCTGTGGCAGTTCTTCATGATTACAAAGATAACATCTCTGGCAGTTTTTCATGTCTTAATAGATAACATCTCTGGCAGTTCTTCATGTCTACATAGATAACATCTCTGGCAGTGCTTCATGTCTACATAGATAACATCTCCGTTAGTGCACCATGTCTACATAGATAACATCTCTGGTAGTGCACCCTATCTACATAGATAACATCTCTGGCCGTTCTTCATGTCAACAAAGATAACAGCTCTGGCTGTTCTTCATGTCAACATAGATAACATCTCTGACAGTTCTTCATGTCAACAAAGATAACATCTCTTGTGGTTCTTCATTTCTATAAAGATAACCGTACTTTGCAATAAGACCATTTTTTAAATTATAACTCGGTGGTGAAACACTATCAGTTATAACTTGGCGAATCAATATCAGCATTCTTGCGATACTCAGATATGATATAAAAGATTTTCAACCCTTTAGAGATATAATATCTGGCATTTCTCCAAGTTTATCCATGTAATCTATAGCAGATCAGCATCTCAACATAGTTCTTACCTCGAGCAGTACTCCATCTCTTCACAGATAACAACTCTGGCGGTTCTTCAAATCTACATAGATAACATCTCTGGCAGTGCACCATGTCTACATAGATAACATCTCTGGCAGTTCTTCATGTCTACAAAGATAACAACTCTCGCGGTTCTTCATGTCTACATAGATAACATCTCTGGCGGTTCTTCATTTCTAAAAAGATAACCGTACTTCTCAATAAGCCCATTTTTTAAATTATAACTCGGTGGTGAAACACTATCAGTTATAACTTGCTGAATCAAAATCAGCATTCTTGTGATACTCAAGATTTCTCAGATATGATATGAAAATTTTTCATCCCTTTAGAGATATAATTTCTGGCATTTCTCCATGTTTATCCATGTAATCTATAGCAGATCAGCATCTCAACATAGTTCTTACCTCGAGCAGTACTTCATCTCTTCACAGATAACAACTCTGGCGGTTCTTCATATCTACATAGATAACAACTCTGGCGGTTCTTCATATCTACATAGATAACATCTCTGGCAGTTCTTCAAATCTACATAGATAACATCTTTGGCAGTGCTTCATGTCTACATAGATAACATCTCTGGCTGTTCTTCATGATTACAAAGATTACATTTCTGGCAGTGCACCATGTCTACATAGATAAAATTTCTGGCAGTTCTTCATGTCAACATAGATAACATCTCCGGCCGTTCTTCATGTCTACATAGATAACATCTCTGGCGGTTC